AAATCAAAACTGAAAAAAAAATAACAAGTGCAACCATTATATGTTGCAACAGATTGTGTGTGGTACACTACATGAAACATTAAAAGAAGGCTCATTTGATATTTGAGTACAATGAAATTCAACTTTTCCTAAAGATAAAGATTGCTGAACAACAATATATTCAGAAGAAAATGTGTTAATAATTCTTTTTTTTTTTTTATTAATAACTGGATCATTCAGTTGGGCATAATAATGTCTTGCATTTGAATTTAAAATTGATGATAATTTTGATAGCTTACTTATTTGTGAATCATGACAGATGAGCCGACTGATGCATGTGTTTAGGTTTGTCTGATGATTTAAAATTTTTTAAATTTTGGAATGATAGGATTCCACATGGTTTTTGGTGGTCAAGCCCAAAGTGATGGTGTCTAGATTTAAATGCCTGGCCTACATTTCATGCTTATTCCACCAGTTCTCCTCAAAATAGGTTATAACCTGAACAGGTGCAATATTTGTTATTTCATGTTTTAAAATGTTGAACTCGCTTACAGAATCTGTCTCTTTCATTGAAAAAAATAGATTTGTAATAGCTTCAATTAAAAGGGAGGTTAAAGCTCTCTTAATATTACTTCCCTGAGCTCGGTGTTGGACACTGACATATATTGAAGCAGTGTGTTCGAAATTGGAGTCAGTTGGATCTTCCTCCTCTCAGGCAATGCATTAACACTCTAAATAAAAGAGAAATAATAGCAAATTGAGTATGTAAAAAAAATATATATCTAAATGTAGCCTATAACTTAAAATAATATAATGTATACTATATATGTACAATAGAATTATATTAGAAGCATGTCTGTGGAATAAAATCTTACCTCTTGGGACAGCATGTGGTTAGCATGAAGTAAATCCGATTGCACCACTTGCAATTTCCAGCTGTCTTGGACTTGGACCATTTTAACTTTTAATTTGGCTGGACACCCTAGTTTTAATGACCTATAAAATAAAGAAACAGTTTTAAACAACATTAACAGTAATAGTTTTAACAAAACAAATGAATACATTATAATACATGTACATTGTATGAAATAACTATACTCTACTGTCTAATAATATATTATATCGAAGTCTATATTATATAATTTAATATTAATATCCATTCAAAATAACTAATACGAAACAGATTATATTATAAATTTGCAGATAATTTTTTAACGTCATTCTTATTCTTGCTTTCCTTTCTAGCCAGTTCAGTATCAGTAGGTTTATATTGTATAATTATATATTAAATAATATATGTAAGATGGTAAATATCCATTCATCATTCATAATCATAATAAATATTACGAACCAGATTATATTTGCAGAGAATTTTTTAACGTCATTCTTAGTTCTAACGTCATTCTTAGTTCAGTATGTTTATATTTAAGATTATAGTTATAGATATTGTCTATTATATTCTATAACTTGAAGCATAAGTCAAATAAGTGTAATAATAGTTTCTATTCGAAAATTAATTAATAAACTAAAATAGACTTACCTTTTTAGAACTCTTTTTTTTTTATAAAGACAGCATTTTGAAGCTCTTCTAAAGCTTTGATGGCATTTCCCAAATCTTTGAAGGTATCAAAATGGCAATTTGCAGCTAAAACACTTTCAGGATTCATTACTGAGCCAAGATGCTCTCACAAGTACGAACTAGTAAAAAAAAATGATCGAGGCATTACTTCGCCCTCGTCATAGAAAGCGGATTTTTAAAGTTCTGGTTTTGGTTTGATTTGATTGGCTGGAGTACCAATAGCCCCTAGAGCGCTATTCGTAGTTAACTACCAATAGCCCCTAGAGAGTTAACTACCAATGGACACTTCCTATATATATATTATGATTGAATTGTTTTTTAGTGAACTCCTGGATTGTCAGGATGATTTATAATTATAATAATGATGAATAACAATAATTACCATAAAAATGACTGATAAATACTGTTACTGGGTGTTTTTTGTACAAGTATAATAGTACTGATATTAACAATCTTCCTGTCCTAACCTAAGTTCAACGTCAACAACAAGATTCAAGAATTTCAGATCAGTATCAGATTAGAATTAGGGGGCATCCATTAATTACATCAACAAAAATTGCGGGGGGGCGGGGGGGGGATGTTTGGCAGTTGTTGACGGGGGAGGGGGGAGGTCTAGATTTGTTGACGTCAACAATCATATTTTTTATATTAAAATGTTAATGTTAAAAATTGACTGGTTCTTACATTATTTTAAACAATTTAATGAGTGTAAATAGTAATATATGACTTTTAACAATATCAGAGTTATTTAAAGTGTGTCTGTCTGTGCACTGCAGATGGTTGGTCAGAATGTTAGCACGCTTTGTTAGTGCAAGAGAAGTAAAAAGTTGGCATCTCTTCACCTGTCATTTTTCTCTTAATCCGCTCCCTAGAATGATTAACCCGTCATTGTTATTGGTGCTCAATTTAAAAAAAAACAACAACTCATCAGTGTTCAATAACAACTCTACCAACTCAAAGATAGAGAGAGCTTATGGCAATTGTTGCTCACACCGACAATTCTTCTATTTTACGGGCTGAATGGTTAGATAAGGATGATGGTGACTTGTCTGGTATATCAGTTCCGCAAGATGAAAATAATAAATAAGCTACTATAGACTATGCCCATCAGGGGCGTCATTTCAGGTTTTTTTCTGAGGAAAGGAGTGGGGGGCAAAACCTAAACTTGTTCGGCTTGTTAAGCTGTATATTACTGGAGGCGCCACAGTACATAGCAATTTAAATAAAACCAGCAAAATCGAAAAAAGGGTGTGGGGAATGCTCCCATGCCCTACCCAAATGATGTCCCTGATACCCATTGTTACGATAGAGAAACTCCTGGCTACTTCATGGGAAGATGATAGCAGCTAGAAACTATGCTACATTTGTCAGCTATACTGACAATAATCATATTTATACTTCCACCAACAATGATAGTTAGTCCTTAACAACCTTTTAATAGATTCTGAATTATAAAATTTAAGTGTTAAAACTTTTTAACTTGTTGATTAACAAGCTAAACATGTAATAAAATGTTTTCCCTGCAATTTTATGTCATTTAAATTCATCTGCACAAAGTAAAATGTATTTATAAATTTATTTATATTATAACTTTTTTGGGGGGGTTTATAAAATTTTTACATAATTAAATAGGGGGGTGATCGAAAGTTTGGCAGTTGTTGACGGGGGGGGGGGCAAAAATTGCGTGAAAAATTGACGTAATTAATGGACGACCCCTTAATGAAATAACTACTGACCAGGGCCTTACTAGTTTATGGCCATTCATTAGTCTACTAGTATTAGTCTACTGACTGCTTACTGGTTTATCAAAATTTAAAATAGGGTCAAGTTCTAACAGTAGAATTAAAATGAAATGGACATTAAACTGAAATTTTAGATTAGGTGACACTAAAATGGTGTGTAACTCTAGAATTTTATTTCAGGGCCTTGTAAAGGGGCCGGACACATCAGGGTTTGTGGGGGGGGGGGATCAAAATCATACTTGTTTTATATGATATGTAGGAGGGAGGAATTTTTCAGTCCAAAGTAACAGAAATGAAGGTAATAAATTGATATTTTTTTTAAACCCAGCACATTGTTTATTTTATCATTTATTATAAAATTATAACTTATTATTTGACATAAGTCAAGTGCTCTTAAAAAGCACTAGCTAAATTCTATAAATACTTTATTTTATCATTCAGACCCAGTCTTTTGATACCTTAAGATGTTAAAAAATAATTTATTTATGAAGTAGTTTAAATAAATTATTTAAATATTTAAATAAAAATTCTAAAACATTATTTAATGAAAACTAAAAATTTAAGTAGCACTGCATAGCCAGCTAAAGGGACAAATAACTTTTCACCAGCATCGCTTCTGTTCCTCTACGATTAATGAATAGTGGTGGAATTCAGGTATGTGTCAAATTTATCAAAAATTTCTGGAGGGCTTAAGGAGCTCACGCCCCTCTCCTACATCGGCTCTCTTTATTTCAGCTTCACTCCTCCGCCGACCATCAAAGTGCCAGTCATGGCAACCTTTTAAGTATCTCATATACACAAGACCTCTATCAAAAATTATTTATTGACATTAACATTTTCTATTATAAGAATAGATAACAAATGTTGCCTTATGTGACAAAGGGCCATCCATAAACAATGTCACACAAATTTTGCCTATTTTTTAACCTTTGAAATAAAAATGTCTTTTATTTTATAATATCCCAAAAATTTTGTTTAGCAATTTTTATTTTTCATTCATCTTGTTTTATTCTTAAATCTTAATCATTCCTTTTTTTTCTTGCAACTGTATATTTATAGGTGTTAGTTATATTCAATGTCTTACAAAAAAAACATTTAAAAAAAATATGTATATTAAAATGCTGTGATAATTATCATTTCAAATTTTAACCTGGCCTTAAAATTGTTAAAAGCTTTCTCTACATAAATCATATAAACTACACAAATTTACTTTTAAAATCTTTTCTTGCTTGGCACTAACTAAACTAAATTAAAACTTGTTTTTTTTTAGAGATCAAGCCAAATGATGGTGTTGTCAGTGTGGACGGCAAACAAATCAAAAAAGACCCCAAACAATTTGCGAGTGACACCATTTTATGTGTAATTCTTAACTTTCAAGCTGGCATCCCATGACTCAGTGGTGGTTTTGAGCGGTGGTTCAAGTGCTGAAGAAATAAGCCACCACCAGTCTGATAATCATATTCTTGGTAGACGTGATGTGGGAACTATTACTGGTATGTTTTATTTTTTTTTTCTTAACTTAATCCATAAGTTCAACTTGATTAATTTTACTCACAGCTTGGTACCTATACGAAATTTCCTTGTCTTTTTATTTCAAAATGTGATAATTAAAAATAATTTGGAATTAAAATATTACTATACACGTGACCCATTTTATACAGTTCTTTTAAAAAAAAAAACTCTTAATTATTGCATTTCCAGAAGTATGTAGTACTGAAGACCCAGATGAAGTTGAAATTTTAAGTTTGGTGAGAGAACAAATTCCACGCTATCGTCTACGAGCTGATACAATCACTGACTTCACTGGCTATAAACATACAGATTTCATTCAAACAAACACTGTGTCGTTTGATGAAGACACAGATCTTAGTCCAGAGCAGATAGGCGAATCTTTAAAATATTTTGGTAAGTATACTGTTTACTGAAAATTATATTAAAACTAGCTTTCCTCTTATGATGGGGTGGGGAAGGCACTGCAGTTGTGAATTTAAGTAGCACTGCCTGAAGCTTTCATTTTGCATTTTCTTTATGCTGCAAGGATTTTATCATTTTTTTAATCATTATATTTGAGAGAAATAGTTTATCCCTTTTACATTATCAGAAATGCTTTAAGAGAAGTTTAAATAGGTATTGTAAACAAACGCCGATGAGGAGAAGCTTTTTAATCGTTTTGTTGTCTAATTTAATCTAATGCTCTGATGTCAGTGGATATAATGCTCTGATATCAGTGAAGTCAAAATAATTCCATCATAATATAATACTCTGATATCAGTGAAGTCAAAATAATTCCTTCATAATATAATACTCTGATATCAGTGAAGTCAAAATATTTCCAGCATGCTTTTGTTTTGGACAGGTCTATGTAAATGTCATGTAAACATGAAAACAATGACAACATAAAAATATGAATTCAAATTTGTTTCTGCATGCAGTAACGGTGGACTCTCATTCATCTATCAGTGACTTTATTTTTTTTATTTAATTGGATAAAGATCTGTAAAAATGTAAGTTTATTATTTTTTTTTTTTGCTTCTTGGTTTATCAAAACTGTACTTAAAACTTGCCCTAGTCACTGTGACTTAATGTTTGCCTGACGTTAGAAGCAGACTTGCTTGGTATCAGTTATTGTTCTGCTCAATTTTTTGGTTTTGTTGTCACAGGTTGAAAATGGTTTCTTTTCATGTTGTGTTCATGCTGCTCCTAGATGAAACCAATTCTAAAATATATTTCTTTGGTGCATGCGGTTAGACTAGTTGTACTGGAAAATAATTTCTGTTGGTTTAACTCAATTTATGGTGTTTTAATTTTTCATTACATATTTAATTCATAGTCAATTTTACTGATGTGAACCAACATCCCAGGTTTGTTTTGGGGTATATGTAAATGTTATGAAAACAGTGACAACGTAAAAATTTGATTTCAAATTTGCTGTCTTCATAAAGAATATGTGGCTGTTACTGCGTATTAATGCCAATATATTTTTAATGAAAATCAAAACCATTTGTTTGCTGTGGGGAGGAAAAATCTTTTGCCTAAATAAAATTTCAGGAATTTCTTGCAATAAATTTGAATTGGTTTTTATAAGAGTGATTCAATTGTGTCCAATGCATTTCTGAAATGAATTTTTACATTTGTGACATAATTTTTGTTCTGTTACTTCCCTTTGTTATTAGTTTTTTCAAAGTTTTTTTGTGTGATGTTGGAGTCCATCGTCTGGTGCTATTGTTTTTAATTTACCTGCAATGAATAAAAAAAAATGTACTTTCTTACTTCACCATCTGGTAAAAAATACTGTCAGTTGATATTTAACTGTTGCTCCTGGTACTCTTCATTATTTCACTACAACAATCAGATTTATTGTATCAAGAACAGGCTGTGGACTGACAAGCAAGGTGAAAAATGTGTTAATAATCAGTCATTCACTTACAAAGAAATAGAGGCAAACATGATACATTTGTAGGACATTCTTTTTTCTTTTTTTAAAGAAAGGAGCAGGCACTCTAACTTTACAACTGAAAAACTGAAAACTCTCCCCATTTTATCTTTGAAAAAAAAAAACGTGTGTTTTTTCCACATCCTGTCTTAGTAAACAGTCTCACTTCACAAGTCCAAGTTTATCCCATGTGATATGAGAAATCCATAAATGTTAATCCATGTAATATTAAAATATTTTTTATTTAAAGTGTCTCAATAACTGTAAAGTTTCGTGACTGCTGTGTAAACCAAATCATTTGAACTTACTTAATTAATTATTATAAAATACTGGAAATCTGTAAAAAGTAAGTCAGACCTGTTTCTGTGTGAAAAAAAATAACAAAATACCATGTTTCCCTTGGCTAAGAAGATTGGTGTTCTTCGGAGACTGTTGCCATCTCTTTATCATGTGACTTTCACATAATTCCACTGTTGGTGTGAAGGTCTTCTCTTTTTTTTTTAATAAAGAACTTGTATCTTACTCATTAAAAATTCCCACTGATACACAGTCACTGCACAGGCTTTAGGGGTGGTGGTGGTGGGGGGTGGGGATTGACTTATTTGGCAAAAGTTTTAGAAACTTTGGGCTCTTTGCTTGGACCAATAAAAGTTCAGGTTCACCTCCTCCCCCCCCCCCCCCTTCCATCTCCAGTCAAATGTGTTAAATAGTGTTTTTTAAAGGCACAACTGTCCATCCTTCTGTGACCATCTCAAAATCTTATTGGGTTTTATCAGATGTCTTAATTTTTTCAATATCATGTGAGAAATTTCGCCTCAGTGGATATGGAGATAAGTGACTCTGTGGCAGTCAGTGTAAAAACCTTCAGTAGACTTAGTACGTAACTCTTCATTTCAAGGACTGGAGTTTTTCACTCATGGTGCTGATGAACTTTTATGGATACTTAATGTTGTGGCAGTTATGTTCTGTGTTTATCATTGGCTTTAAAAGGCTCTTACCTGGAGTCCAGTTATTTTCTTCAAGACGTTTCACGCAGCCTTCTTTTCTACTGCATCATCACACATATAACACACTGTGGCTTGGAAAAAAAATTGCTTGTGTGCAGATCTGATCAGATCTTTATGATGATTAGTTGTTCACATGGCTTCAGTAACTTAGCAATACCAGATATGAGATTCCGCAGACTAAAAGGTTTTTCATTAGACGTACTCATTTAATTGTATTGTTAAATTGTATTGTTGAATTGTATTTTTTGTTTCATTGTATTGTTCTGTTTAATTTTATTGTTTTATTGTTTTGTTTAATTGTATTGTATTGTTAACTTTTATTGTTTTATTGTTTTGTTTAATTGTATTGTATTGTTAACTTTTATTGTTTTATTGTTTTGTTTAATTGTATTGTATTGTTAACTTTTATTGTTTTATTGTATTGTTTTTTTTAATTGTATTGTATTTTTTTTTTTTTAATTGTATTGTTTATTTATGTTGTATTGTTTAGTTTTATTGTTTTATTGTTTTGTTTAATTGTGTTATACTGTTTAGTTTTATTGTTTATTTGTATTTTTTTAATTGTGTTTTTTAATTGTATCATTTAATTGTTTTGTTTCATTGTATTTTTTTTATTGTTGTGTTGAATTGTATCGTTAAAATGTATTGTTGAGTTGTATCACAGTGTACAACTTATATTTCTGAAGGCAACAGTTTGCCTCTGCAATGGAATGTTTATCCTTACATTTCAACAGACAGCCTTGTGTTGTCTGGGCCAAAATGTTTGCAAGATTTGTTCAAACGTCACAGCATCTCAAATAATGTGTGCGTTCAGCTGTTCAGCTCGTTTCTAGGGTGTTTTAAATAAGTGTTTGTTGAGATTATGAAGACCATGAAGTATGTGCTGACCTCAGGAGACTGTCATGTTGAATTAGCCGGGCACAGTTCCTTCTGACTGAAGTTTTTCAGTAGAAAGCCAAGGGGACAACCCCTACTGTTACAAGCATTGTAAAGAACCTCCTGTATGGCGATAACCTCCTGTATAGCGTGGATGCTCTTATTTTGAACCACAGTTATCCAGGGTCTTGCCTGTACTCAAATCAATGCAAATAGTAGAAAATAAATGGCTTGCTTGCCACGGGTCAGTGAATTTCAGTTATTGTAACTTTTTCAATGTCTAAGAATTTCATGAACAGTGGACTATTTGAACTGAAGGGCCTCAACACACTTTCAAGCAGAAACTCCTGTTTAATGGAGCTGAGAGACCACACGACCAGATTGAACTGGTGTATAGTACAAGGGATATCTTTCATGTAAGTGGTAATACAACAGTGGAGGCAAAACATGGCAGCCTGCCTCTTTATGCAGTATTGCACACTATGATAAGTCTTTTCTAAACATGGGCATTGGATGAACATTTCGGGGCACTGGTGGATGTCAGGGCTTTCTGTACCTTACAGTGTTGTCAGGGCTTTCTGTACCCTACAGTGTTGTCAGGGCTTTCTGTACCCTACAGTGTTGTCAGGGCTTTCTGTACCCTACAGTGTTGTCAGGGCTTTCTGTACCCTACAGTGTTGTCATGGCTATCTGTACCCTACAGTGTTGTCAGGGCTTTCTGTACCCTACAGTGTTGTCAGGGCTTTCTGTACCAGGTATTTCTCTACCCTACTGTGTTGTCAGGGCTCTCTCTACCCTACTGTGTTGTCAGGGCTCTCTCTACCCTACAGTGTTGTCAGGGCTTTCTGTACCCTACAGTGTTGTCAGGGCTATCTGTACCCTACAGTGTTGTCAGGGCTATCTGTACCCTACAGTGGTGTCAGGGCTTTCTGTACCCTACAGTGTTGTCAGGGCTATCTGTACCCTACAGTGTTGTCAGGGCTTTCTGTACCCTACAGTGTTGTCAGGGCTTTCTGTACCAGGTATTTCTCTACCCTACTGTGTTGTCAGGGCTCTCTCTACCCTACTGTGTTGTCAGGGCTCTCTCTACCCTACAGTGTTGTCAGGGCTCTCTCTACCCTACAGTGTTGTCAGGGCTCTCTCTACCCTACAGTGTTATCGGTGTTTGTTTGTTTTTTTCCTGTTTGTTGTCTGGACTTTCTGTTCCCTGATGGTTTTCGCTGCTTTCTGTTCCCTGCCGGTTGTGACGGCTTACTGTTCCCAGCTGGATGTCATGTATTTATGGCCTGTAAACTCGAAGGGTGACGCCTGATTTATCTGCCACATTGAGGTTACACATAACAGTTGTCCCCATTGTTTACACTTAGGTACTGTCTGAAGGAGTCAATTATTGACTGTGACAGTGTGGAGGACCACGAGTGTTTTGTTATCGTACAGACTCCCAGTGACCTTAGCCTTAATAATTAGCTCTACCCAGCTCCTTGACGGTGTCATGTTTCTTGTTTGGCCTCTGGCTCTGTTGACTTTGTTCTTAGACTAGCAGCCAGTTAGATGAACTCTTTGTGTTGACCCTTGTTACTCAACGACTCCGGACTTTTATTATTGACCA